CTGTCCCAATGAATCTGCCTCGCCGTCTCCTCAAACTGAAACTCCAACACAACAACATCAATCACATCCCTGCCTTCTCGTTCCGTCACCTGCGGCCGGGCCTACAGTCCCTCCATCTATCACACAATGCCTTGAGCAATGAGGGTATGGAACGAGTCTCTTTTGCTGGAACGTTCCGCTCAATGGGTGAGCTCCTTTTGGACAACAATCGTCTGGAGGAGGTCCCTCGCTGTGTTCGTCAGTTTAAGAACCTGCAGGTGCTGCGACTGGACAACAACCAGATCAGGTAGAATTGCACTTTCTATTAAGTTGGTTTTAAAAAAAATTTATGTGATTTTCATGACGCAGGGATAAGCTAAGTACTTACTTGTTTGTTATTCAATCCTATCCTAATGCCATTAACTCCGCTAGTACAGCTCGCCTTGGAAATTACTCAAAGGAGCTTGGCAAAGAAGCAAAGGAGGATATTGTGGAACATTCAGTGTCTTATGGAAATACATTTATTAACACTGACATTTCAGCATCAGTTCTCCTTAGCACAAAGATGAAGACAATGACTTTTGTTGTTACAACTGTTTCATATTACTGCCAGTGAACTGTACCCGACTAACACAGTAACCCTGAGAAACATGGCTTGTTGGTTATCATGGTCAGCAGCCAAAACTGATGAATGTACCTCAAACTAAAAACTTAAATGGAAAAGTGTGTGACTTAAATGGAAACACTAGCATGCTAACATGCTGAGGTTTAGCAGGTATCATGTTTACGACGTTCAAATCACACAGTTGGTCCCTTAAGTGCCTTGGCTGTGAAGGAAGTAAAAAAAAAGTTAACATGTTGTGACGTCGTCAAAGTAATATGATATGTCACAAAGTGATGTCCCATTATACCATTTCGGGCCCCTGCAGCCTCGATCACTTACCAGGTGATGTCAACTAAGTCTGTGATGGTTCAGGGTGTAGCCTTTAGAGTGGAGATTGGGATTGTGTAGCATGTTAGCATGCTGACATTCGGTAATTAGCACAAAACACAAACTACAGCTGAAGCTGGGAGGAAATTGTTTTTGCCTTATTTGACAGCTGACACAGTTGCTGTAGAGACAGGAATTATGAGGAGAGGGGTTAGGCATGCAAGAGCAGCAACCATGGACACTGCGGTTATGTAGCATAGCAACCACTAGGCAATCAGGGTAACCTATGTCATTAGCTTTGCAGGTCTTCAGTCATAAATCAAAGTACTGAACAAAGATTTTTTTTTTATATGATGATAGTGCAAGAGTTATCACAAATTATTCTGAGGGGGGCACAAATGTCTCGTACAAAATCATGTCAACCCTTCCAATAGTTGTTGAGACATTTCACTCCGAACCGCACATGTCAATGCTGGTAGCAATAGTGGGAAAATTTATGGGATCACAGAAGGCGCACAATTCATATGTAGTATGTCTAAATGTAAGTATTTGTATGTTGTGGTTGCAGGCTGGTGAGGAAGTGGGGAGTGTGCCACCCTCGTAATTCTGGCTTCACCTTGGCTTCAGTCCACTTGGAGAATAATCTGCTAGAGTTGGAGAGGATTCCCCCAAATGCCTTCTCCTGTCTCACTGATGCTCAGGGACTGGTCCTCTATCCACAGCAGGGACACTCATAAGACCAGTAGGTCGCACAGTGGGACAAACATACACAGAGAGATACATACCCATAATATGCATCATCATGACATACAGCTACCCAATTGTTTCTGGGGGTTTTCTGTATCCTCCATTTGTCTCCTCTGCTTGCCTCATTCATGCATCAAACCCATTAGGCAGGGTTTACAGGAAAATAGCTTTATCATGTAGTTTGCTGTGTCAGTCAGTGTTATAATTTTATCATTGTCAAACCCATCTTTTTCTTTTTTCTTTTTCTTTTGTCTTTGATTAGGAAAATGACTGTTATGATTTTGTATGTATTAAAGCAAATGTGTAATTTACACGGTAATGGAAGTGGTCATTATATGAAGTGCTCTTGGAAGTGTAAATAGATAAACATTGCAGTGAAATCCAGATCCACTCTAAACAATGGTTGTAAACTGGCTTTTCATTAAAGTACAAGGTATTAAAGTGATGCTTTTGAGAAAACGAAGGCTGAAATGGATTAACCTGTGTCTCTAGTTTAAGTCTGGGGCTTGTAGGAGGAGCCTTTAGTCAGTGTACTAGATATAAAGTAGGTATGTTTGGATGTGAGAAGTCAGATTTTGGGACTGCAGCATTATACAAGAGAAAATGTCTAGTGACACATAGTGAACCTAATGGGCCCATTAGGAAGGAAAATATCACCAGATGAGTTCCAACATAAACATCCACCACCAGCCGCTCAGCGAAAACACATAATCACTCTTACTGTGAGGGGGGCCTCAGTCAAGGCCTCCAAACATATAGAGGTGACGTCAGCCACTATAGGATAATGACAAGTAATTGGGGTGCAAGTATATGTGTGTGGGAGGAGTACGCGTGTGCCCTTTATTTGGGTTAGCAGTAAGAAAGACAGGAAATGGTGAGTAACATGTTAGCACAGTGGAACTAAGGGACAAACAACAAGCTGACTTTTAGGACACAATGCAGCGATTGTTCTTAGAAAGTATCTAAGCTGCTCAGTGAAAGATGAGAAGAGCAGCAGCTCATGTCTAGTTGAGTCCAATAAGATGTGGTTAGAAGAGAGAGAGGAAAGAGCCGTGGCGCATTCTGAGCTCTTTTCCGTTTGGGAGCTAAAGCCACTGGAGTTCTGGTATGCTGCCAGCCTTACTGACAAAGTTACTTCATGGATCTCAATGTTCTCTCTTTCTCTTTTCCATGTGTGTTTCTATCGCCACTACTGCATCTCCCTGTCCTTCTTCTGCTGTTTGTCCCGCTCCCAATGCCTTTTTCCTCTCTCACCTCCTTCCACACAGTTAATGGTGCATAATAAATAACACTGCACCATTCTTCTGTCTCAGCATATCTGTGATCTCGGCCCCTTCAGAGATGCTTTGAGCTCTGTGGTGTGAGTGTGACGTGCATGAGAGCCTTGCCCATAACATTTCTGTGTTCGGTACGGTCTTGATGAGAACATAACAGAGCCAGAGGAAAAAGCAGACACCCTACTGCGCTCTGTGTTATTGTTTTCTCTGAGACAACAACTCTCTTTCCTTTCATTCCCCCTGTCCTGCATTATTACCAAAAACCTGCGTTGATTCACAATATGGTCAGCTGCTGTACATGAAATCTTGCTGCAACAAGCATCGTATCTGTATTTGCAGTCTCACTATGAAAAAAACCCAACAAACTTAATATTTTATGAGAGCTGATGCAAGTGCAAGCAATTCTGCAATTAAGTGTTGGAGCAGTCTCTTTAATTTGTTAATCTGTCCATGCAAAGACACCATATGTTTTTCAGTATATCACTTGGAGTAATGAATATAATTAAAATGATGAAATGTTGAGTCGTGCGCAATGCGTGAAGTAAGTAATTTACAGGCGGTGCACTTGTTGTGTTGACTAGCTGGCTCCAGGTATACGATATCAACAGAGAACAGTGTTTCTGATGCTCAAAATGAAGAACAGAAGGTCCCCTGCAGACGCTGGAGTTACAGTGGGTACGGAAAGTATTCAGACCCCTTTAAATTTTTCACTCTTTGTTTCATTGCAGCCATTTTCCAAAAATCAAAAAAGTTCATTTTATTTCTCAGTAATGTACACTCAGCACCCCATCTTGACAGAAAAAAACAGAAATGTAGAAATTTTTGCAAATTTATTAAAAAAAAAACTGAAATATCACATGGTCATAAGTATTCAGACCCTTTGCCGTGACACTCATATTTTAACTCAGGTGCTGTCTATTTCTTCTGATCATCCTTGAGATGGTTCTACACCTTCATTTGAGTCCAGCTGTGTTTGATTATACTGATTGGACTTGATTAGGAAAGCCACACCTGTCTATATAAGACCTTACAGCTCACAGTGCATGTCAGAGCAAATGAGAATCATGAGGTCAAGGAACTTGCCTGAAGAGCTCAGAGACAGAATTGTGGCAAGGCACAGATCTGGCCAAGGTTACAAAAACATTTCTGCTGCACTTAAGGTTCAGAGCACAGTGGCCTCCATAATCCTCAAATGGAAGACGTTTTGGACGACCAGAACCCTTCCTAGAGCTGGCCGTCCGGCCAAACTGAGCTATCGGGGGAGAAGAGCCTTGGTGAGAGAGGTAAAGAAGAACCCAAAGGTCACTGTGGCTGAGCTCCAGAGATGCAGTCGGGAGATGGGAGAAAGTTGTAGTAAGTCAGCCATCACTGCAGCAATCCACCAGTCGGGGCTTTATGGCAGAGTGGTCCGACGGAAGCCTCTCCTCAGTGCAAGACACATGAAAGCCCGCATGGAGTTTGCTAAAAAACACCTGAAGGACTCCAAGATGGTGATAAATAAGATCCTCTGGTCTGATGAGACCAAGATAGAACTTTTTAGCCTTAATTCTAAGCGGTATGTGTGGAGAAAACCAGGCACTGCTCATCACCTGTCCAATACAGTCTCAACAGTGAAGCATGGTGGTGGCAGCATCATGCTGTGGGGGTGTTTTTCAGCTGCAGGGACAGGACGACTGGTTGCAATCGAGGGAAAGATGAATGCGGCAAAGTACAGGGATATCCTGGACGAAAACCTTTTCCAGAGTGCTCTGGACCTCAGACTGGGCCGAAGGTTTACCTTCCAACAAGACAATGACCCTAAGCGCACCGCTAAAATAACGAAGGAGTGGCTTCACAACAACTCCGTGGCTGTTCTTGAATGGCCCAGCCAGAGCCCTGACTTAAACCCAATTGAGCATCTCTGGAGAGACCTGAAAATGGCTGTCCACCAACGTTTACCATCCAACCTGACAGAACTGGAGAGGATCTGCAAGGAGGAATGGCAGAGGATACCCAAATCCAGATGTGAAAAACTTGTTGCATCTTTCCCAAAACGACTCATGGCTGTATTAGATCAAAAGGGTGCTTCTACTAAATACTGAGCAAAGGGTCTGAATACTTATGACCATGTGATATTTCAGTTTTTCTTTTTTAATAAATTTGCAAAAATTTCTACATTTCTGTTTTTTTCTGTCAAGATGGGGTGCTGAGTGTACATTACTGAGAAATAAAATGAACTTTTTTGATTTTTGGAAAATGGCTGCAATGAAACAAAGAGTGAAAAATTTAAAGGGGTCTGAATACTTTCCGTACCCACTGTACTAAGAGAGGGAGGGAGGACTGTGGCAGAGAGATAGACAGTTAATAAGAGGGAGCGAATGAAGCTGGGTTGTAAGGAGGCAAGCAGATGACAAAGTTAACAAGGTTATGAGGGCTAAGTACAAGCAAGGTGTAAATATGTGACATGAACACACACACACACACACACGCACACACATATTTATACGTTTCACTCTTTCAGCCTGGGTGTTTAATCACATGTTAGATTTCTGCTTTCAGTCTTGTGCATGTGGCGCAGTCTCCATAATTGTACAGTCATTTTACAAACATCGCATTACTGTCTAAGAAACTACACTCGCATTTATAGCCTGCTGCAGCTCCTGCTGTTACAGGCAGAGCCGAAACTTAACACAAAGACGACCAAACAAACTGCATCAGCTCTCTTTTTGCAGCTTTGCATCTATGTAGTTTTGCACAGATGGATGCTCCAGCCTTGATCTTAAATCCTTCAACCTCCCCCTCCACAGCTTGTCACATGGGGTGTATTCAAATCGGACAGGCTCGCCACTTCAGTGCCATCCATCATACTGCGTGTGACATGACTAAACTGTTAAACCGACATCCCATTACATCCAACAGATGTTTCGCATCTCGTCAAGTTGAGGCCAGAGCCTGTTTGTGAGAGGTTGACCCTAGAGCGGCGTCGTGCTTTTCTTCTCCCTTGTTCTGTCTGTTCTACCCGGCGACAGCAGCTTCCTCTGTTTGTTATTGGAGGAGTGGAGGAGTGCTTAAATAAAATAAAAAGCATGAGTACACAGTTAACGAAAAGCAGCTAAACTATTTACTTTTCTGACTTCGATGGGCAGGAGAAAGAGGATGTCTGACGACAGTTCATTTGCAAGAACATGAGATTGGGTTTCAGTGTTAAGGGTCAACTATTTAGGATCAACAAGAATCTGCCTACTGCAGTGTGGAGGGGAGTAACCACTCGGCCATCGACCCTAGTACATTCATTCTTGATAGCCAGCAACATTAAGAACTATGTAGTAAGCTTTTATCAGGCCAAATCCCAAAACACAGAAACTGCACTTTGGTCAATATTATTCTCTTCTCTCTCCTGCACACAAATGCACACACACTCACTGCATAGCAGCGCCCACGCAGGATCTAACAAGTGGGTGTGCTAATCTCTAGAGACACGTTAGCTGAACACTCGTAGGACAAAAAGAGTTTAATTTGGATGCCAAGCCCTCTAGCTACAGACCAACTCCATAATCAACTGAACCACAGCGCGCGTGCATGTGCGCGAGAGATACTGAATCTACAAAATGAGCGAGAGTGGAAGCAGAGAAAGGAGGAATGCTATCTACAAAGACCTTTATCAACACTCTGTCCCTTGCCAACACCCCTGCAGGGCATTTATCTGGTCTGGATGCCTTTTCTGTCGCTGTGGGTGCTGCACTCTTTGAGAGAAAGAAAGGCACACAATTGAACAAAAATACAGGCAGGCGGTGTCACTCTCCTCTTGCACTGACATGGATGATTAGGAAAATGATTATGATTTGATGCTCAAAGCCCTGAAGCAGCAGACCTCATGGATAACGTGTAGATAACTGCAAACATCTGTGTGGGAGAGTTTGCACAGGGTCAGAAAAGCCAGATGGTGTGGCTTGCCAAACTCGCTGCCTTGCTCTGGGTGCTGGCATTTTGGAGAGGAAATCAGAGAGTCAGTGCAAAAAACACTTCATCCTGCCAAAACAAAATTTAATAGAAAACTGTGAGAAGGCACCAAAACATACGTTTTATAATCACAGTCATAGAAATACATTTTCCGCATGATTTCGGTGGTGCTTGGCGTATCACCATTTTCTCAGTAATCTGTTTTATGCAATTATAGAGTGTTAAAATTTAGTTAACTGGGACTCCC